CCAAAGACAAACCAAAAAAAAGAAAGGGAACAGGTGGAAAAGACGGAAAGAGGGTGAACCTGGAGGGGAAAAAGAAAAGGAAGCCGGCCAATGTAAGGTAAATCCGTTCGTTATAAGCTATTAAGTGTGTTACATTGAGAGAAAATATGAGAATTACATTACACCAGATCGATGGAACGGGAGAACAAAACCATATACAAAGCATGTTGGCGAAGAAATAAAGGAAAGACAGAGTTCGTGTTCCTGTGCGCCGTTGGTAGGTGCATTACCACCAGGTTCGGCATTATCAGCATAATAAAGCGATTAGTTTCGAAGAAGATATACGGGATTGATTTGCAGTCCACCATTCAAGTCAATGTTGCCATCATCGCTCTGATCAGTAGAGGACTTGGAGCTAAATCCACTGTTAATATCCAAAACATTTATGTGCATGAAATAGAGGGAGGGGGAGGGGGATAGAAAGATGAGAACATACCTTTAGGCTCCCGTCGCACCTCGATAGTTTCCTCAACATCCAGAGCTCTCCTCTCTCGCTCTGATAACCGGATGTTCGTTTGAGTATCTCTCCCTAACCGTCGACGATCAGGAACGATCAGCGCGACATCAGCACGAGGTGCAATGACGTCCTCCAGCACGACATCTCTAGGTTCAATGATTCGGATTGGTGAGGATCGTCGGCGGCGGTGGTGGCGTACTGGAGGGGCCTCTGGTCGTGAGACCGATGGCCGGCGCGATCGTGATAGTTCGATTACCCTTGTTGCAGGCCTCCTGGAGACCGACCGCCGTCTTTCTACGGCGAGGCTATCGGATGGAAAGCCAACGGTCAGTGTATCTGTAATTTCCGTTGTTGCTGTATCAAAGGCTATCGTTAGCTGGAAGCCATAGGAAACGGACAAAGAGCGGCTGCTAAGTTGGGATGATCCGTAGAAGGTTGAGGGAAACGAGAGAAACGAGTGAGAATTTTTGTGCACCTACTGGCTGTTCGTCTGATCTCTCTACTCCGGGTTACCAAATCTTCTATGTGGGCCTCTTGCAATGCCTGGAAAATGATGTAGGCATCGTCCTAAATAATATTGCCAGTTAGTATTCATGTTATCAAATAAACGAGAATATAAAAGTGAGTATGAGAAGAGTGGCTCCTTACCACTTCCTCATATTCATATCCGAGATCTATAATGGCCCGAGGATGCACTAAGCGTTTGGGCATACGAGTTTTGCCTCGACGTGGGGCTGTTGATGGCCGAATATCCCTCACTTCCACTCCCTGGCGATGGGCGACGCTCCGTCCGCGGGGTCGCGGGGTCATACTCCTGTCCCGCACCTGTACACGCCGAAATTCTTCGTCGCCATAATAGTCCGGTTCCGCAACCCTGATCTCCTCGAAGTCAATCCTTTCATGACTGGAAGGTGAGCGCCTCCGTCTTGGAACAGGAATTGGGGTCACTGGCGGGCCATAGTCTTCGCGATCGTATTTGTCGTAAGTTCGTCGAGTAGCCGCCCGGTCAAAAGTATCAAGTGATGATTGGCGACGGAGCAGCTGGGGGCGTACTGGGGGACTTCGTTCTCGTTCTTCCCTCTCCCGGAATGGAACTATAGCACCTGAAGAAGAGACGAGGTGTTCATCGTTGTACGTCCGACCGGCCCTCCTGGCAGGCGGGCCGAAACGTTCATGCGCAGCCTGGAGTATGTCGTCTATGTCACGTCTCCGTCTTTCAGTAGGGGGAGGCCGATCAACGACTTGTGTAGTACGTCTGTTTCGAGCGTGCGGTACCTGTCGTTCCTCACGCTCTCTGAAAATGCGGCTTGCATCCCATCTTCCCCCCTCTCCGTTCCCACCAGCGCTGCTTGCGCTTGCAGAGGGCGAATCGCCGCGGCGGGTCATTGAAGAAAGTTATATAGTATCCCTTGATATTTGAATTCTACCGTGGAAATCGAGGCGGGGAAGGACCGGTGGTTTGGCAGCGGGGACAAAGTTACTTTTGGCGCTGAACCGTGGTTGGAATAGCGAGGGAGCTGATGACGATGGAGATTTGTAAATTCAGAAGTACCAAGGTGATGTCTGTTCAGTCGTGATAAGAACTATGGATGCAGTTGTAGAAATTCAAGTAAGTGCTAACTTGTATTTAGCCGAACATACGATCTTGAAATATGGGGTTGTGGTTGACGCCTGAAATTATTTATCTGATGACTCTCTCGGTGGCAATTTCAGCCTTCACCATCTTCAGCTTGGCTGGCCTTGTGTTATAAAAATAAAAAAAAAAAAAAATGCGAAACAAGTTGATCTTGTTTCGACCGACCCCACCATCCTGTCTCTTTGCTAGCCATAACTATCTTGGCCAGTCGCCTTGTTTCAAGCCGTCTTCCCCGTCAACTAAGTTCTGTCAACGCCCTGGCTGCCTACCTGCTTCCATTTGGCAATAAATTGCTGTTGTCCCACTAGGTATTCCCCTGTGGCCCTGTTGTCTGAATTTGAACAACCAGGACCAACTCACCAGTCAGTATGCTGTCCTGCTAGGTGCATTCGGACTCCCTGTCTGCCTTTTTGGAACTCACGTCATCATTAGCCGCCCTCATCTTCGAGCTATTTTGTGCTTTTCACTGTTTGTCGCCCTTGATGTACCCCACATATTCATCTGCTGTGTGCAGACATGCTCTGCTGGCCGAACAAAGGGTATTATCCGCCGATTAGCCCTGTTGCGCCCGACCGGCGCACGACCGATTCGTTCATTGGATAATGAAACACTGCACCACCGTTTCCTCCTATTTGGCTATCATACCTAACCATATTCTTTCGCGCATAGCGTCTGGTGCTTTGGTGCCATTCCCCTTTCATTTGATATGTGGTTCGCTAGGAAATGTCTAACATCTTTGCGCAAGAGTGCGTGGTGCAGAACAGAGTGATATGGCTCGTTTGCATCGTCAACAAAGGACTGGCTGTTATGGAGGCATGATTATTATCTTATCCAGTCTTTGCAGCGCATCTAGCTGCTTTGCTCATATCGTCAGCGCATCTATTCAGTCTTCCTGCAGTAGCCCCAGAATGTTTTCCTACTCGACGTGGTCCTGAATGCACCATTTTAACAGCACAGCAATAGCGCAGGCTTTATTTCAATCGCGGGCAGCTTGTGGAGGATATTCCAACCACCTGTGGCTCTTATTGCATGCTTCGGAACGCTATCATCTGTATCCGGAAACCCGAGCAACCAGCCCAACTGCTTCCCATCCATTATGGGACACCAGCTCTTTGCTGTCCTCCCAGTTAAGGCGTTAGTGGGTGGCAAGGAGTGCAGATAATCCAATTCTTTCACGACAGTCTCTGTGTGGGCGGAGTGAACTGACATAAACTAAAAAAGAAAACATAGATACTATCAGCAGGACGTCTTTGATTTCTATATTATTGGATTCTGTTCGCCCTTCACCTTTCATTCTATGATTTTACCCATGGGGTATTCTTCCCATGACCTGTCATGTGGTTGAACGCAATATGTGGGAAAGGATACCTAACCAACAACAAGGTCCCGGGCAACGGCTTGAGGATATCAAATTGGGTACTAACCAATTTGACCCGCTTTTGGCATGTCTAGATGGCATCACCGCTCTTTGCCTTCTATCGTTGATGGTGATGCCCCTTGTTGACACCCTTCCTGCTTAATCCCTTTACTTTCCAGCAATCCCGAGAAAGCTTGAGTACCCGTGGGAATTCGCCGAGATCTCATAAACCTCTATCTGCGTGTCCCGGAACAATTGAAGTTATATGGATGATGCCCGGTTTGATATCACATATGCCAAAAGCAAATCATATCACTCGACGCCTACAGATTGAATACTTCTATTCAAATCCGTCAAACACACTGCATCATCTGTCCAGTTTACATTTTCTGGGTTTAACCAACTAACTCTCGCAGAGAATCCTATTAGCCCAAAAGGTTGATGATCGCTATATCCATCTGGATGCTCCTATAGAACATTCCAACAGCCTCCGGGCACCGTATCAAATATCGTTGTCGGCATTTCTAGGGCCCACGAGTAGTCAAGGGCTTGCCATTCATGCTCGGTTCGGATATTGCATCTTGGATGCCCAATTCCCAGCTAGACACCAGTCTGCCCATCGCGTGATCCATTCTTTGTTGTCATCTAGATCTGAGAAATGAATTTCGAATCGCAGCGCCCGGCTACTCCGGTTTAAAAGAACCTGCTCCTGGGTTAGATCTATGGCCTGCGTCTACCTTCCCAGATTTGATGTCTATTTACACATTTCTATGCCCAACAGGGTCCAACCGCTGAAGTCGCATATGAGGAGATGGCAACATCCTCTCCTGTCGTTTTCACCGCCTGAGTCACCTTTTCGCGTATGAACCAGTTTTTATGGTGGATATAAAGTTCCAATTTAAGCAGAGCGCATAGAATGCCTCAAACAATTCGCATAGTCACCTCTTTTCTTTTTTTGAAGCGTCCATGGCAGTAATTAGAATGCTTTCGACGAATCCCATTACTGCTCCAGCGACCTGAATCTATATTGCTGCCAATATGTCTTACATTTAGCCGACTAGCTCGACGAATTCACCGAGTAAAGATTCAGTTCCCCGTTGATGATAGCGTGTGAACAAGATTTATGATTTCGAACCATCATCGTAGTGCAACCTGAGAAACCTGCGGTCGGTTTTCAACCGTTTATATTCTCGAAAAATTTTGCAGCTCAATCCTCCTTCAATAGAACTATGTGCTTTAAACTGAGAGAAACTGAACGATTATCACAATGAAAAGATATGAATGTTCCATGTTCTCAAGAATTCTTAGAATTCGCAGCCTGCAATGAGGACTGCTTAGTGAAAAAGCCCCAGCCGCCATAGTTAATTCTTAATAGGAGATTGATACATTCAATAACTAGTGGATATGCTCGTGAAATGACTAATACTTATTTCTAATATACTCAGCACTGTCAACATCTAGGGGTGGGTTAGGGTGAGGAATAGAATTCAGGCATTTGTGTTGTAAATTAGAATTGGGGTTTCAATATCATGAGCGGAATATGAGGGGTAACTCGTCGACGGAATGACATCACACGGAAATTTTCAGCTGAGATTTATAACCCATGTAGTGCTTGCCGGCGGCCTTCGAGACAAGTCGCCGACGATTTCACAGGCTGACAACCTCGAGTATAAAGCAACAACATGGTCTGCGTCTTTAATGTAAAGCAGGCCTTGTGTTATCCATGCTAAGTGAACATCTTGGAAACAGGAGAGACATAAATAGATTGATACGGAGATAATTGATCCACGGCATTGAGCAGCAAATCCGTTCAATTATCAAAAACACAAAAGTAGCTTAACGTATACGCCTAGCAATAACGGAAAATGGCAGAGCAAGTAGCCTGGATTGGCCTGGGGAACATGGGACGGGTATGTCGAGGTATTCCCGACAAAATGACCTCAGATTAACTAACCAATGCCTTTAAATGTAGGGGATGATAAAAAACCTCGTTGCCAAATATCCATTCCAAACCCCTCTAATAATCTACAACAGAACACAGTCTCGCGCAACTGAGCTAGCTCCCACGCTGTCTAAGCCAGTCACCGTCGTGCCGACTATCGCAGAAGCCGTCGCACCTTCAAGCATCATCTTCATCTGTCTCTCAGACGACAACGCTGTCACTGAAGCACTTCAAACAGCCATAAGCACTTGCGACATAGCCGGAAAGCTATTCGTAGACTGCTCGACGGTACACCCGGATACTTCACGGAGTGAGGCAAAATTGGTGGAGTTGCATGGGGGCTCTTTCGTGACATGTCCCGTTTTTGGAACCGCCCCCGTCGCTGACGCCGGACAGCTGGTATGCGTGCTGGCTGGGAAGAGGGATTTGGTGGAAAGGGTTAAGCCGTTCTGCGCGGGCGTTATGGGCCGGATAAATTTGGACGTGTCAACTCCACCGACCGGTGCTGCTGGCAATGAGGACGTCGTCGTGGACCCCGGACGCGCAAGCTTGCTTAAAATCATGGGTAACTCTCTGGGGTTGAACCTCGTGGATGCAGTCGCTGAGGCAATGACAGTAGCTGAGAAGTCTGGACTTGGTGTTGACACGCTGCATAACTTTCTCGAGCTGATGTATCCGGGCATGTATGTCGGGTATTCGAACCGCATGGGTTCGGGGGATTACTATAAGCGCGATGAACCGTTATTGCAGCAG